GTGAGTGTTGATTTTTTCTGTCGACAAGAATGCAAGCATGTCTCCTTACATGCTTGCATTCCTGCCTGTGTGCCTATGTTCTGCCTGTTTATATATTTTTTATTATTTTACAAAGATGAATTTACAGGCTAAGAGCTGTTATCCCACCTCAGTTTATTTCAAAGCTTCTTCCTGACAAAGTTTTATACTAACATCCTCCCTGGAATACGCTCCACAACAGTCGGTTATCCCAAGGTACCTACTTGGATGTAAAAAAAGAAACAGGTGAACGCAACATGGCCCAACGTTTCCAGTCGGAGGAACCGTCCCTCATTTGGGATAAGAGCTTAACTTTTAAATCAAATTATAATTAAAACAAGGAACACAAAAACCCGTAGATTAAACAGCCCCGGGAGGGGGGGGGATATGGAAGGAAATCAGGCTTAATTCGGGGAACGGGAGCACAGTTTGAGCCCCAAAAAACTAATCATCAAGTATGCATTTTTTTTAACCCTGGTTACATAATATATAATATTATATAAAATATATAATATATATATATATAAATAAATATTAAAATATAATATTTATATATATATAAATTATATATATATATCAAAGTGATCTCTAGTCCCCTATATAATCTCCATTAGATAGAACTTTAAAGGGTAGTATTTGGTAACAGCAACCACCCGGGGAAAGTACTACCGTCCTCCCAGATGACTGGAAAAAAAACCTGTAACTGTTTTGCATATGTGGGTTTGCGGTTTTTTTTTTCTGTCCAAAACACCTAAGAAACGGGGAAATCTTGCTACCCTACTACACTTTGGTCACACTTCACAACACGCACAGCATATATATAATACAAAAATCTAGGTTTTTCTCCTTTTTCTAAATAGCTCTTTTTTCTTTTTTATTTTTTCTTTTTCCCAGGGGGAAGTGGAAAAGAATCTTTCCTCCGAAACCATGCGTGTCGTATGGGGCGATAAAACCCGGGGAGCAATGGCTAGTAACCCTTCTCCTGTATACAATTCTAAAAAAGAAAAAAAAACTTTAAAAAACGGGGTTGCTTAAATGTCGTGGATGTAGGGGGATGACAAGAAACAGATGTTTGCTGATTTTATGAGAAAAGAATTGGATGCCTGGCCCTAAGGAAACAAAGCTAAAGGGGGGTGGGAAGTTTCGTGGGGGAAATAAATGGATTAAATCGGGAGTATCTGAGAGAGTTAGGAAAAGGGAAAGGGGGTCAGAATGTTAAAGATCAGTTATGGAAGGAGAAAAGAGAATATGAATGTGAAAAACAAAAATTATGTGGATTAAAAAAAGGTTGGGGGGGGAGAAGTGGGCCTAAAAGGGGTGATGCACCGGGAAAGAAGGAAGCAGAGGAGAAGAGATTTTTTGGGGAGATTTTTAAAGTGAAGTAAGGACCTTTGAACCAAGTGAAGAAAAATTTGTGGTGGGGACTTGAATGCAAAGTAGGAAAACTTTGAAGGTGTGGAAAGGTAAGTTTTGGGGGCCAGTGAAATGATAATGGGAGCCCTTTGATTAACTTGTAAGAAAGGGTTTTTATAGGTAATACTATTTTAAAAAAAAAGGGATAAATAAGATACACGATATGAGTAGGGAAATGACAGTATTTTGTTGGATTAGATTGTAATAAAAGACTTTTGATAACTTCAGGATGTACATTTTATAGGGGGGCCCACAGATATATAAATCACTTTCTAGTTTAGCTACACTGAGAGAAAAAAGGTGAGGGGATAAGGAAATAAAAACATCGGGGAAGAAAAGGGGAAAAGGTTTATAAACTAAAAGGGGCATTAGGGTAAAAAAAACAGCTAGGGAGGATAGAGGGGGCAATGAAGCATAGCAGGGGGGTCGAAGAGGATGGGGTGGGTTTTAAAAAATGTATGTTAGAGTTTTCACAGAATTTTGTGGTTACAGGAAATGGGTGAGGGGGGAAGAGGGCGATTGGGGGAATGATGATGTAAAAGAGTAGAAGGAAAAAAAATTTAGCATATGAAATTTTTACAAAGTAGAAGTGATAAAGGGGGGAAAGTATAGGGAAAAAAAAGAAAGAAGTTAAAAGGGTGAAGCAATGTAAAAAGAGAGCAAATGAGAGAGTGGGTGGAGTTAAAAAATTTTGTTGAAAATAAAAAAAATTTTTGGGTAAATTTTAACAATTAAAAAAACCCTAGAGAACAAATGGTTTTGTCATTAAAAAAGAGAGGAAGTTTTAAAGGGAAGGTAGAGGTATTGGAAAGGGAAAAAAAATTTTTTGAGGAATTTTTAAATGTTAGAAGATAGGAAGCTGTTTTTTCGGTATGGGGCAAGGAGGAAAACATCTTGTAGGAGTGGGGAAAGCCGGGTTTTGGGGGGGGGAAGTTCGTGGGCGGGGTAAAATGAAAGGGGGTAAGGCAGCCGGGTTGATGGATAAAGATAGAAATTTTAAAAAAGAGGGGGGGAATATTTTTTTGGAGGGGTTTGGGTGCAATTTTTAATAAATTAGGGAAGAGGGAAGGGTACCTGGGGATTGGCAAGACAGCATAGTTCCTTTGTATAAAGGAAAAGGGGAAAAAGAGAGTGCAAAAATTATAGGGGGATAACCCTGTTGAGTGTACCTGGTAAAGTGTATGGTAAGTTAAAAATGAAAAAATTTAAAGAGTAAGAGGGAGAATGGAAAGCAGATAACAAGGAGGCTTTGGGGAAAGGTAGGGGGTGGGGACCGGTGTTTACAGTGAAACATATAAGTGAACGTATTTAAAAAGGCAAAAGAGGTTTTTGGGCATTTATGGATTTGGAAAAGGCGTATGACAGGGGGATAGGGGGGCAATGTGCAGATGTTGCAAGGTAGGTTAGGAGGAGGTTACTGAAAGCATGAAATTTTTACGAGGAAGTGAGCCAAGTTGGTAGTAGGAAAGAGGAATTTTTTCCCATAAAAGTAGGCCTTAGACAAGGAGGGATTCACCGTGGTTGTTTAATATATTTATAGATGGGGTTGAAAGGGAAAGAAAATGCAAAGGGTTTTGGAAAAGGCGGGGAGTTAAAAGAAAAGAACACACACAAAGTGGGGGAGTTGTCACACCCCTTTTTGCCGAACACGTGCCTTTGGGAGATTCTAAAGAAAATTTTGCAGAGATTGGTAAAATGAATTTGGTAGGGTGGCAAAAGAAGAAAATTTTAAAAGGTAAATCAGGAAAAGTAAGTTATGAGGGTAACAAAAAGATTAGGGATGAAAAATAAAAATCATTGGGGGGAGAGAGTATGGAGGAGGGAACGTTTCAGTATTTGGGATGGACGTTCACGGATGGGTCTATGAAAATAGGGGAATCATAAATTGATGAGGGGAAAAAAAGTGATGGTCCTTTGGAGTCTGTGGAGACAAAGACCTTTGTCCTTGGGGGCAAAAGGGGAATGTATGAGAGTATAGTTTAAACCAACGCTCTTTATGGGGGGAACGGGGGGATAATGTTCAGCGAGGAAAGGCTGGAGGCAGTGGGGAAGTCATGTCTGAGGGCAATTGGGTGTGAATAAAGCAGAGAATTCGTAGTTTGGAAGTTTGGGGGAGGGGCGGGGTTTCCCAAAAGTTGCCCGAGGGGTGAGAAGGGTTGTTGAGGTGGTTTGGACATGTAAGAGAAGGAGCGAAAAAGAATGACTTCAAGAGTGTATCAGTCTGTAGTGGAAGGAAGGGGGGTAGGGGTCGGCCTAGGAAGGGTTGGGGGGGGGGTAAGGAGTTTTGTGTGCGAGGGGGTTTGGGCTTCCAGCAGGGATGCGTGAGCGTGTTTTGATAAGTGAATGGAGACAAAGGTTTTTAATAATTGACGGCTGTTGGAGTGTGACAAAGTAACATTAAAGGGATTAGGAAACCGGCAGGCCGGGCTTGAGTCCTGGAGTGGGGGAAATACTGCCGCACTCTGAAGGAGGGTGTTAATGTTCAGTTTAAAAACGAAAGGGAAAGCCCCTTTTGGCAAGCAGTGAGGAGTGAATGATGGGAAAGTTTTTCTTTTTCGGGCCACCCCGCTTGGTGGGGAACGGCCCGGGGTGAAATAAAAAAAAAAAAAAAAAAAAATCAACGTATCGGATAAACCCAAAAATCACTTGGTTATAACGGTAATGAAGGGCGCTCAAAGTAGGTCTATCAATGTCAAGCCCCTCAATGCAAGTCCATCAAGTCCGGCCACAATGCCATCCATCAATCCATCCATCAATGCCATCCCCAACCAGGGCATCAATGCCCGGTCCATCAATTCCAGTCCTCAATGCCAGGGCCCCTCAATTCTAGGTCCAACAATGAGGTTCCACAATTCCAGGGCCTACAAGCCAGGTCCATCAAATTCCAGCCATCATGAAAGGTCCCCTCAATTTCCCGGTCCATCAATCCCGGTCCATCAATGCAGTTCCCTCATATATCTGGCTTTCATTTGCGTGTGTTGGATGTACATGTTAGCGTGTGTTCCCCAAAGGACACCTTCATGTTGACTTGTTTTCAATTTTTAAAAAGGGTGTAAAGCTAAGAGGAATGTCGGAGGGCCCAAAAGGAAAAGGGGTCAGTCCCAAAAGGGGTGGAAACAATCGTCGGGGGATTCACAAAGGGGTGGTAAAGGCCCCTTGGTGCGCGCCCCCCTCGAGAAAAGAACATGGCGGTTATGGTGGGCATGTAAAATTAAGTAAGAATGTTATAATTAAACTAATAAATATTATAATTTTTTTTTACTATGTAATTAGAGAAAGGTATCCCCCCCCTCCCCTATCCCACGACTTGGACTTTAAAGAAAGCAGGAGGTATAGTAGAAACCTAAAATCCCAAGGACAATATGCGCTCAAATTCCTTAAGACCCAGAAAATATAACCCAACCCAGGGAATAGGTCAAATAGCTGGAGAAAAATACATCTAAAGGCTCAGAGTAGTGGTATATTAACACACTTACGAGGGGCAGCAACTGGGGCTCAGCGCAGTCAACCCCCAAAAATTTATTCACCCAACCTCTACAGTCAAGACAATGTAAGACACAAAGGGCATT